TTCAAACCATATTCTTCATGATTGTTCTGACAATTCAGAATCCACCTTTAACGAAATGATCGTTTTTATGAGAATAAAAAAGCAGTATTTGTTCGTAAACGACATATACCTTCGTAACGATCGTCAACGACAAACCACTGTTGTCCCAATTCAAGAACCATGAGTATGAACCAAAGAGAATACATATCTCATAGATTTCTCTTTGTTCTAAACCTGCAGCAGGCTGAGGCAGTTTAAAGAACCTGTAGTGGATGTTTCTGAACCAGGAGCAGTATAATCCTTGTTCTAAACCTGGAGGAGGAAAAGCCTGGTTCTAAACCAGGAGCAAGAGAAACATGAGTCTAAGCCTGCAGAAGTAAGAAATGCTAGGTTCTAAACCTAGAGCAGGAGAAGCATGATTCTGAACCAGCAGATAAGCCTTGTTCTGAACCCGGAGGATGAGATGCATGGTTCTGAATCAGCAGATAAGCCTTGTTCTGAACCTGGAGCAGGAGATGCATAGTTCTGAACCAGCAGATAAGCCTTGTTCTGAACCTGGAGCAGGAGAAGAACAATCAGAAAGCTAGAAAACTTGAACAACAAGTTAACTTGACAAAACCTTTTAAAACTTTAACATTGAGTTAGGAATCCCAGTTTATTTTGTTTTAACATTTAACACTAGACAAGGCTCTAACAACCCAATTCTATAGTTTGAAAATAAACCTTGATTGGAAATTATAGCATGTCTTAAACTTACCAAACCAAAATGAACCGATAGGGTTGATTGATAAATGAATATTTTTTATTTTAGATTCTTTTCAATATAATATTAATATCAAGTGACCTTAGCTCTAATTATGGAAGTAGTTGTCCGATTAACAACGCGACCATTAAAGTTTTGTTTGTCTTATCGAAAATGAATTTGATATCTAAAATTTCTTTTTTTAAATTGTTTTTTTTCAAGAATGACTTCATTGCAAAAGTCAATTGCAAATTTCTTACGCCGTAAACAATGGAGAAAATTGACCCTGTTAAACTAGAAAAACGACGTTATCTTCCACATTATTGATCAGATAAATGTTTCAAGGGTACCGTTGTGAATCGGAAATGCCCCTTTTAAATGAGAGGTTCATTCGAAATTACAGTTCCTTTGAAAAAGTATATGATTATTTAATTCTAAATTATTCGAACATTGGACTCCCAATTTGATAAAATTGTTGAAAATATTTGTAAAGGATATTCTTGATGATATCGTATCGTGTTGTCTCGTAGTCACGTATACACTTGATATTTCAAACTTTAAATTCTGCTTGATCAAATTGTCATGATTTGAAAAATCAAAGGGTTGGAAAGGTATTTATAGAAAACTATTGTTTTTGATTTGTAAGTGTCTAGTTCTTCTATTTATTTAAAATAAAACTTGAAAACATCAACAAAATTATAAGAAAACTCCGTTTTGTGAAGAAAAAATTAATATTTCATCTTATCTAAAAAAAAACTGAAAATGTTCTTATTTAAGACAAAAGGATGACACTGGCTTATCTCTTTCATGTTTCAGTATTTCAGCAAAACAATACCAAACTTGTCATTTTCCCAGTATTATGAATCCGAACATGAATTTCAGTATTTAAAATCCATTCCAATAATATGAAATAATTTACTTTAAACTTTTTAGAAATAGAATCAAAGAAAGAGGGAAAAATTGGTCCTAATAGTATGACAAATTTTTTAAATTGTAATGAAATAATGTTTTGCTTATAAATTGATCCTTGATGTATCGTAAGCTTTGTAATAAAAATGAATGCACTCAAAAAATAAAGTATGTCTACTCCCAACTCTACAGGCTGAGACTGAGTTATATCCACGTCCATTTTATTGTACGTATGAAGAACACACTGTATGAAGAACACACTGTACATGTACACACTGTATGAAGAACACACTGTACTTGTACACACTGTATGAAGAACACACTGTACATGTACACACTGTATGAAGAACACACTGTACTTGTACACACTGTATGAAGAACACACTGTACATGTACACACTGTATGAAGAACACACTGTACTTGTACACACTGTATGAAGAACACACTATACTTGTACACACTGTATGAAGAACACACTGTACTTTTACACACTGTATAAAGAACACACAGTACTTGTACACACTGTATGAAGAACACACTGTACTTGTACACACTGTATGAAGAACACACTGTACTTGTACACACCGTATGAAGAACACACTGTACTTGTACACACTGTATGAAGAACACATTGTACATGTACATACTGTATGAAGAACACACTGTACATGTACACACTGTATGAAGAACACACTGTACTACAGCAGAATAAAAATTAGGTAAAAATGTTGTTGATTAATGGGGAAGGAATAGACTGAAATTGAACCATTCAATAGATCTTAAATACTTCTATGAATTTTGAGCTGGGAACTTTAGATTTGATGCACTTAATCACAATCCCTTAATCTGATCATCCAATATTGACATCTTCAATTTCCTGCTTATCTTTTTCTCTCTTTTGGATATCCCTCCCTTCAAGATTACGATCAATGAGAGTTCTTTAATTTACTGGCATGTACAATTTTAAATATCCCGGCTCCTGATTGGCTGTATTTAGGGTTGTTAATAGTTTTTGTTAACAATCGTTAAACGATCGTTTTTTGTTTTGTTTTTAAAAACGATCATTTCGTTTTCGGAAAAAAACTATCGTTTTTTAAAACGACCCACTCGTTTTGAACTTTGCGAGAACGATTAACGATCGTTTATGAAAATGATCGTCTTTATTAAAACGATTTGCAACCATTTTTTATACGATTGTTTTTAAAAAAAACTATCGTTTTTGAAAAAAAATTGTATTGGAAATTATGTTAACGATCGTTAACGATGGGTAGTCGTTAGCGATTGGTAACAAAGGGCCGTCGTTAACGATCCTTATCGAAGGGTCGTCGTTATCGATCGTTAACAAAAGGTTGTCGTTAACGATCGTTAACGAAACGACGAACTTTGTAAAAACGGTCGTTTTGGAAAAAAAATTACATGCAACTTTATTGAACGTCATCTTATATGAAGTTTAACAGTTGTGGGGGAGTTGAAACTTCTTGATATTTTCTTAAAAACTACTCGAAAAGATAAGTACAGATGCCCTTCAGGTCGGTTTCCTCTCTTCGTTAACGATCGTTAACGAAGAGTTGTCGTTAAGGAAGGGTTGTCATTAAAGATTATTAACGAAACGACGAATTTTATAAAATTGATCCTTTTGAAAAATGATCGTTTTTAAAAACGAGCTTTTCGTAAAAAATAGCGTTTTAAAACAACCATTTTTAAAAAACGAACTTTTTTTAAAAAACGATCGTTTCGTTTTTGATTTTTCATTGTCGTTTTCATAACGAAACGATCGTTTAAAAAAAATAAAAACTAGCTGTATTATTGGTTGAAATTTATACACTTTGCAGGAAACAATTTAAAGGATAAATTAATTTTGAGATTGATAAGTTGAGGAGATCAAGCATTGATCTCAATATCCACAATTTTATAGTTAAAAGCTCTGTTTAATCAAATAATTTAAGTTTGAAATCGTGTTGGTAAGATATAGAGAATAAAATATTTGAGTTTGTGGTAAGAGCTCAATTCCTTTCGGATCTTAAAGGGGGTATACTATGCACACCATTAAAACGACTTTTTCCTGCTAGGTGTCTCTGCCATGTATAATCATTCAAAGCATTAAGAGCAAAGACATTTAGCGGCCAACTTTTTCGGCGTTTTAAGTGCATTGGATACAAAACGAATAAAAAATATTATGAAATATCAACTATATAGGAATGCATCGAAAAATAATCGATGACTATAGGTTGTAATATCTGAATGATTTGTCTGAGATTTAGTTGATTTTTTTTACAATTCGAGTCGTATAATGCAAACTTTCTGAATTTGTATGCTACAGATAGAAGTAAGATTAGCAGCGGTCAAAAGCGATTATTTTTCGCTGTAAGCTTATACCCCCTTACATTTTTCGCGAACACTCTATTTATAGCATGACACATTTTGAGTGTTGAAAATGCCCATCTGATAAAAATAAAAAGGTGGGGAAAATATTTTCAACTTGAAATATATTTAATATTAAAGTTCTTCTGTATTAAGCAATGTAAAAACAAGGTAATTAACTTCTTTATTTAAATACTTTCAAACTTTAGTTTTCAAATTTATTTCAAAATATAAAATAAAATCTTAATTTTTTATCTAATTCAAGAATACTTCTGCTCAAAATATTATTTTCCTCCTCAGTTAAGAATAATTGACGTAATTCTAAGTGAGCCTCAATATATTCAGAGACATGTCCGATTTGCGAAGGTACTTTTTTAAGCTAATATCTGAGTAACTATGAGGAAATGAAAATAATATTTTTTGCTACTTTACAAACAAAGTACTTCAAATTACTTCAAACATCCCGTATATATCATAAATCCTTAAAACAGAAAATATTGACAGCAATAATTTTTAATCTTTCAGAGTTTGTGAAGAAATCATCATACGATCATCATCATCATACGATCATACAAGGTTATAATGCAAGGAAAGTTAATTGCAGTCGCGTATACTCTGTGTACAAATTGAAACAATTTCTCTTTGGGCGGAATTTGTAAACAAGAATAGATGCAAGAGTATGCGTTTAGTATCTGAGGAGGTTAAGAGCATTAAATTGATAATTTTGATAATTCACATAATAGTTTCCTATGACCAGAATATTTCATCGATTTTTTTATGTGAAAGATGGATCCCCTGTCAGGCTTCGACATACGTATTGTGTTTACATTACCACCCTGCGACAGTACACTGGAGTACAAAAGATGCGTACACCTCTGAAATAACTTTCCTTTTATTACAGCCTTGGTACGATCGGAGACCTAATTTCATCAGAAACTAATAATAATTCATCGGAGACCTATACCTCAATTTAAGGCCTCCGTCGATCCAATGTGGTCATGGCATAACATTACATTTTAAGGTTTCTTTTATTTGGGATTTTTATTTCGTTTAAAAACGTCAACGCGATGATTGTTCCCCAGATCTGATCTGATCTGATCTGACTGTTATACATTTTAAAAATTTTGTCAAGAACCATTTAAACATTAATTTATTCTTGGGTTTCTTGATTAAGTTATTGTTATTTTTCTTGATTTTGTTATTGTTATTGGTGGTGTTGTTGTTGTTGATGTTGTTGATGGTGTTTTTGTAGTATTGATATCGTTGTTGGTGGTGTTTTTGTTGTTGGCGTGATATCCTGGGCGTTGTTGGTTAAAAAGGAGAATCGAAGCCGTAGCTAACTTTTCCTTGCTCAAGCATCTACAAAGTAAATAAAACATGAAACAAGTATTTTTCCTTATTTATCATTATATAAAAAATATATATCTATATCTTTGTGAGACCCAAACAACAAAAAAGATTATTATAACTTCATTTTGGTTCAAGATTTTCTCCAATAAATCATTTTATCGAATATAAGGTTTGCATTTAATTGAAGTTTTCACAAATATTATGAAAACCACTGATCTTTTCGTACCATCCCCCTTTCATTATAAAAAACCTTGAATCATTAATTACAATGTACATTTGTCGAATTTTGTAAAGCTTTTAATTCTTTAAATAGACTTGAAATGTTAAACTATTCATATATTCCATGATTTGAATAAATATTTTTCTGCAGTACTCATGTTATTAAAGCTTGTATGGAAAATATGCAAATTGAGCACAGGGTGAGCTAAAATGCACATATATACACCCTGCAGGAAAATAATAAAACGAAATAAACATATTTTTCCGTTGTTCCTTTATATTTTCGAGACCAATATATATGTATATTAATACAGACATATTTCTGAATACAAATATCGAGAATTAGACTTTCTTATATGTACTCCATTTATATTACAAGGGCCGGGTATACTATGCACAATTAAAACGGNAACGGTGCTAAAATAGGATTGGATTCAGGGTTAGAAAACTTGAAGTAAACGGTGCTAAAATAGGATTGGATTCAAGGTTAGAAAACTTGAAGTAAACGGTGCTAAAATAGGATTGGATTCAGGGTTAGAAAACTTGAAGTAAACGGTGCTAAAATAGGATTGGATTCAAGGTTAGAAAACTTGAAGTAAACGGTGCTAAAATAAAAGAAGAAAACAAGTCTTGTTACTTGAGTCAAAACTTTGTTTTTCAATTTAGAATAAAGTAAAATAAATTCCTTTTCTTTCTTGAGGAGAACATTGCTGAAAATAGAATTTTACAAAAGTTTTTAATTAAAATTGAATTTTAATTTGGATGAATAATTATTTTTATATCCCGAAAAAGGAAAATCAAACAATTTTTCGGTCTATAATTTCTAAACTGATAAAATAAAATGAAATTAATTAATGTTCTGAAAGGTGCAGAAGCCATAAAATTAGAAATATTTTAATCCTTGAAAAAGAAATAAAATATACGACTTTTGTGAAATAACAAAAACCTTAAAAAAAGCTTCTTCTTACCCTTGGTTTAGGATTAGGTTTGACCGGAGATATTCTTTGTCTTGTTCTACTCTTAAACCTGGGAAAAGTTAGTTAAAAAAAATAAAAAACTTCTTGAAAAATAATCCTCCTAGAGGGAAAATTGTAAAAGTGTATAATAAAGCATGTAGAACATTTTCCAGCCTGAATTGTTTGAATCAAGTTTTTAATTTAAGTGTGTTGTCAATTATAGAATTTTTTTTATGAGATTTAAAGAACCTCAATATTCCCTATATTTTCACAATCTACAGCTGAAAACCGTTGATATATTTAAACTTTTATTATTTGAACATAGGCGAATTTATAGTTTGCAAATAGAAACTATTTATGACATCAGGGTACAAAGATATAAGGATTAGAAAAATATAGTTTGTTGCAATTATCTAGTTATAATAAAGAAAGTATTCTACCTTAGATTTGAAAACAGACTTGTTACATCCAATAGATTCTCCTTGCTTCTTTAAACAAACAATTTATTATATTCAAAATTAGCAAAAGGAACTGAGTCTTAGCCACAAATTTTGATTTTCAAATCGCTATATCTTTGCAATCTGATGGTGTTAATCTTTGATATTTCACACTATTATTTTCTGATCTAAAATAATTCATAGTTTGAAATATCTAAGGTCTCTGACATTGAAATGCAAAGATATGAGAATAAGAAAATAAGATTCTGTGACAAAAACTCAATTCCTTTACCCTTCCTATGAATAAATTGGTGTTAATAAAATTGGCATGCTGATAAAACATAAATGGGTTCGGGGAGTAAAAAAGAAAAGACAAAAGTGTTCAATTTTATCAAAAATATTGGTGTGATCATGAAGAATCACAACTAATTCAATAATATTTGTTATGAAGGGACTGAAATAACATATTTAAAGAGAAAATGCTCGATTTACAACAGTACCCATTAAACCTTTAAATTGATGATTTAAACTATTTGAATTCTAACAATTTCCTCTACACTATTTCTAATACTGAAATCCACAAGTCGCTTTACATAAAAACAACAATTGAAAATAATCCATCTGTGTACCTTGTTCATCAGACGAAACTTTTAGGGTATTGTTGTGAATCGAATGAATAGAGAATCACTCAAAATTGCATCTACAGTCCCTTTAATTGATATTCACCTCTCCATTGATGGGCTCCTGCTGTCTGATGAAGAAGAACTGAGCGAGCAATCAGATGATTTAGATCTTGAAACTCCGGGGTATTTATTTCTAAATATTTAGATCTGGAAACTCTGGGGTATTTATTTATAAATATTTAGATCTTCAAACTCTGGTGTATTTATTTCTAAGTATTTAGATCTTGAAACACCGGGATATATATATTTCTAAATATTTAGATTTTGAAACTCTGGGAATTTTTTTTCTAAAAACTTAGATCTTGGAACACTGGGATACTTATTTCTAAATATTTAAAACTTGAAACTTCAGGGTATTTATTTCAAAATATTTAGATCGATCTTAAAACCCCAAGGTATTTATTTCTAAATATCTATATCTTAAAACCCCTGGGTATTTGTTTTTAAATATTTAAATCTAAAAGCTCCAGGCTATTAATTTCTAAAAACTTAGATCATGAAACTCCAGGATATTTATTTCTAAATATTTAGATCTTAAAGCACCTGGATATTTATTTCTTAATATTTTGGTCTTGAAACACCAAGATCTTTATTTCTAAATATTTAGATCTTGAAACTCTAGGGTATTTATTTCTAAATATTTAGATCTTGAAACTCCAGGGTATTTATTTCTGAATATTTAGATCTTGAAACTCCAGGGTATTTATTTCTAAATAATTAGATCTTGAAATTCCGGTGTATTTTACTAAATATTTAGATCTTGAAACTTTGGGGGTATTTATTTCTAAATATTTAGATCTTGAAACTTCGGGGTATTCATTTCTAAATATTTAGATCTTAAAACTCCAGGATTTATTTCTAAATATTTAGATCTTAAAACACCTGGATATTCATTTCTAAAAATTTAGATCTTTAAACTCCTGGTTATTTATTTCTAAATATTTAGATCTTGAAACTCCAGGATATTTATTTCTAAATATTATAAAACTTGAAACTCCACGGTATTTATTTCTAAATATTTGTTCTTAAAACTCCGGGATTTATTTCTAAATATTTAGATCTTGAAACTTCAGGATATTTATTTCTAAATATTTAAAACTTGAAACTCCAGGGTATTTATTTCTAAATATTTAGATCTTAAAATACCTGGATATTCATTTCTAAGAATTTAGATCTTGAAACACTAGGATATTTATTTCTAAATATTTAAAACTTGAAACTCCGGGATATTTATTTCAAAATAATTAGATCTTGAAACTCTGGGATATTTATTTTAAAATATTTAAAAATCTTAAAACTCCAAGGTATTTATTTCTAAATATTTAGATCTTAAAACCCCTGGGTATTTATTTTTTAAATATTTAAATCTAAAATCTCCAGGATATTTATTTCTAAATATTTAGATCTTGAAACACAGAGATATTTATTTCAAATATTTAGATATTGAAACACCAGTTCTAAATATTTTATCTTAAAGCACTAGGATATTTATTTCTAAATATTTAGATCTTGAAACACCAGGAAATTTATTTTTAAATGTTTAGCTTTTACAAGATATTGCGAACTTTCCTGGACAAAATTGGGGGGGTAAAACTAGACAATATACCAGGATAATGCGGTGGGTAGAAATAGACAATTTACCTGGAAAATATGGGGGGTAGAACTAGATAATATACCTGGACAATGCGGGGGTAGAACTAGACAATATACCTGGACAATGCAGGGGTAGAACTAGATAATATACCTGGATAATGTGGGGGGTAGAACTAGACTTTGAGGAACTGAGAATGATGATGGAAGCCTGAACAAAACATTTATAAATTGGTAATTCTAGACACAACAAACACTATTTTAATACATGTAATAACCAGGCAATACTTCTAGAGATGGACACATTCATTTTCTTTTCAACTTGTTTGTTCATCGTTTGTTAATGAACCATGTCGTTAGTTTAAAGAAAAAAATTAATTCATTCGTTTTAGAATTATCGTTTATTTTCCATCTATTTTGTTTGTGTTCTAACTGAACGACCTTTCAATTAAAACAGTTGTTCATTGAGATCGTTTGTAATTCAGTAAAATTTTTTGTTCCGTAAAAAAAGCAATCAATTTTTCAAAAGCTTGTTCCCAAAAATCATTTATTCGTAAAAAAGTAATACATTTTTCTAATGTTCGATAAATTTGTTTGTTCAGTAAAAAAACGATTAAGAAATCATTCATTAACTGTCACACTGCTCCATGAAATGCGAGCAATGGATTTTTTTCGTTAGTTTTTTTAATTTCTCTGAATGACACAGAAAAAGAATGTATTGACTCATATCGTTAATTTTACAGGTGTAAAAAGTATAAATTTTTAAAAAACACAAGAAAAAAANATTTTAAGAGAGATTTTAGCCGAATCCACAGAGCTTGGTATGGTACGACATGGCGTATGTTATTCATTACATATATGGTGTAGAATATTATCAGACTGGGGTTTCTTATTTCAACATGAAGGTTTAGTTAAATACAATAGTGTTCAAGTTTAAAAACAATGTGTTCTATCTCTCCTCAAGTATATTGTTCTGGTAGAAACTTATCTAATCTTTAGAAACTTAGACAAGGAACTTAAATAAAGTACAATTCTAACCAACTCATCAAAAATAAAATAAATTCGCAAAAAAATAAATACTCTTCTCATCCGCAAATGTTGTAATCATTCCATCTTTGAAACAGTTGGAAGATATAAAAACATGGATATCTTATTCATATTTGATCAGACAAAGCTTCTAAGGGGACAGTCGTGAATCGGGCATTGTCATCTTTGCATGAAGGGTCATCTAAAATTACACTGACAGTCCCATTTTAAGTAACTGCACTGATTGCTCTAAATCTCCAAATCATGACGGAAGCAATTTTCGACTTATATATAAACTTATAGATTCACAACAAAACTAATATCATTCTCATTAAATTCCATGTCCCACTCTCTTCGATCCTGACATAAGGAACTCAACTCAATTTACGCGGTATTACTGACACCACGCGTACCACTTGAAGTTTTCACCTTCAAAATGAAAAACTAAAACCCTATAAAGTATATTACGTATATTACGCACATTATGTATATTGCGTATATTACGTTTATTACGTATATTAAGTATATAACGTATATTACATATATTACGTATATTTAGTATATAACGTATATTATGTATATTATGTACATAACCTATATTACGTATATTAAGTATATAACGTATATTACGTATATTAAGTATATAACGTATATTATGTAAATTACGTACATTACGTATATAACGTATATTAGTATATAACGTTTATTAGCGCATCAGGATAAGGCACCTTTAAACTTTTCTCTTCGGTTTGTAAAATCGATGAAATGGACCAACTTTCAGGTATCCGTTTAATCTTAACTAGAACTGAACGTTCCGTTTAGTCTTTTTAGCTTGCGATATTTTACGAATCGTCAATAGCGCCTTTCCTAATTTTAAGAGCTCGTTATAAAAACAAACTGTGTTTAAAAGCATGACAGGTTTTAAAGGAACGAAAAGAAATGAACCAAGGATAAATATCCCCCTCTGATATCCCTGTATAAAGTAGGGAACTCCGAGAGCAGAAAAGGAAGATTTATATCTGAACCAAATTATCCCAGATTTCCACCAAACTGTTGAAACTTTGCCGCCAAGGGAATATTATAGTTTTCAAAATCATTTAGTGAAATAATCATTTATTTTAGATTTTCTTTTACGTCAGGATGTCCCGAAATCACACTGAACTAAACAGCGTCAGGATGTTCCGAAATCACACTGAACTAGACAGCGTCAGGATGTCCCAAAATCACACTGAACTAGACAGCGCCAGGATGTCCCGAAATCTCACTCAACTAGACAGTGTCAGGATGTCCCGAAATCACACTGAACTAGACAGCGTTAGGATGTCCCGAAATCACACTGAACTAGGCAGCGTAAGGATGTCCCGAAATCACACTGAACTAGACAGAAGGAGTAGGTCAAATGTATACGATTTTCATTCTACGCAATATTCACGAGAAAGGAAAGTTTATCTGAGGCCGAAATTAAAGAATGTTTCAAGATTTAAGCCGGCGTTCAATTGAAACCTGTTTTTGGCGGAATTTAGACGCGGCTCAAATTCATTAAATTAGGTAACATTTTAGGAATTCTATTGAATAATTCTTCAAAAAAAACGAGTTATGATTGAAAATGCGCATTTCAATCTTACGTGGAATTTACTTTAGTTTGACGTGAAATGTTTACAAACCCTAAAGAATAGTCGTCATTAAGTCAAGTTAGGTCTGTTCTATACTACGATTAAGTCAAGTTAAGTCTGTTCTATACTACGATTAAATGTGAATTTTTAAATTCAAAAATTTTGGATTAAAAAAAAAGAAAAATTGGAATAGAAAAAAGAAGCTCTTTGTCACAATGAAAATGGCGTAATTAGTAAAATGAAAACTATAGGAGTTACGAGGTCACAAAATCTTAACAGTAATTTTGCATTCATTTGACCTGCTGTTTAGTTCACAGTGTGGACTATAGTTATGTTTATAGAACTCTAGAAGTGTCTAAGTTGTGCTGTGGTAGTTTTAGAAGATATATGTTTGGGGTTTATACACTGTACACTTCGCAAACTATCTTAATTACATTACACTAAAGAATACTAATATGGAACAAGTCAATGTGTGTAGACCCAAGGCGGGGAAAAAAACTTTGGTTTGCGCATTTTACTATTAAGAATTTCAGGAACTGATTTTATCTAACAAATAACAATTAAAGATTGTAAACACAGGTCAAAATTTTCGGACTTGTGGTGTCAATGTTGTTTATCTATGTAATCTCTGTCTTTTTTCCGATCATAACTCAGGAGCCCCTTGACCGATTTATTTTATTGGGGAACTCGGGAGAACCACGGAAATATTCTTAGCTTGGTTTTAAAATTCTAAGTTGAGTGGGTCGACTTAAATATCGAATTGTTCAAGTGCGGGTAAACGGCGGGATTAACTTTTAGTAACCTTGGCAGCGCTGGGTTCCCAAGCTACTTTAATATAGACTTATTTTTCTCCTTAGATCTTTACACATTAAAAGTCAGCAAAATATATTAAAGTAAAAAGAGAAATTTTACAAAAAGTGGCAACCATCATTTGACATTATTTGAAAGTATGGAGTAACTATGACTATCACATTTTTTTGCAAAACTATTTCTCTAACACTCTCACAATTTTTAATCCTCATAAAAACCAATGATAAGACTTTTCCAACATGTTATAAAATTTGTATTAAACCCTCAGTTATATAAAGATGGAGTAAAATTCAAATAAAAAGAGGAATAGAAAGACCACATGTCACACTTGTATGCCGAGTTCATTAGAGCCTGATCCAATCAGGGTTCAGTCATGTGTTTGTTGTCTATTCTGAACCAATACAAAATGCATGCCGGTATTATCTATCTTTCTATCTATCTCATTATCCAATTAGAGATAAATCCTTGTATCAACGCTATCCTCTAAATGTTAATATTTACTTCTAACAAAACTATAATGATTTAAGCAATCTTATCATCTAATGTGTATTTGATGATATGATAAAGTTTTACCAGTAGAATAAAAATCAAATTTTATGTGAAATGGGTCTGTGCACGCTGCACAGTTGCTTTTCTTGTATATTTATTGAATTATAGAAATCTTAAATTTAACTGAGTCAAATAGTTGCCTTTTCATTTTTCAGTTTTATGGAGTTCACTGTATAAAATGAGCTTACAATACCAAACACTTTTTTCTATGGGTTTTTAGCAAACTTCTTGTTTACAAGAAGCAATGTAGAAATAATCAGAATAAAACACTGCTCGAGTCCGAAAAAAAACAAAGGTATGTCATGCATTTTCTATTAGATTAGGGTTTCAAGGGTACCATTATTATAAATCAGACATTGCCATCTTTGCATATAAGATCATTTGAAATTACGCTTACAGTCCCTTTAACACTTTCCTCCATAGTTTTATTAATTATGTAGAATGTTGATTGTTAAATGACTATACCCTACAGTGCAGTGTGTGAATGTAATCTATATTTGATGGGTTGGCGCTTGGTATTACAATACTATAAATCAGTTGTTTATGCCAACTACCCTTTTATTAGATAATAATTGCACTTTCAGGCAACACAAGCCACACTTGTATATCGAGTCCATTAGCGCCTGATCTAATCAGGGTTCAGTCATGTGTTCACCAAGAAATATACAGAGAGTATTTTCATGGACAGGTTCTGATAAAGTACACTGTAAGGGATATAGTGTACATAAAGTACTGCACGGACAGTGTAATAATAGAGTACGGTGTACAGTACACTGATAAACTGCACTTTACAGCATATAATGTACCTAGAGTACTGTACGGACAGTGTACTGATAGAGTACGGTGTACAGGAATCGTCTTTAGGTGATGTATAAACGCAGTCTCTCTCTGAAATATAAAAGTAGACACAATCAATTTTATAAATTTAAATTTCTTTAATTTGCTGATACTAACATTTTTTTATGCAAGAACATTTTCCCAAAAAAATATATTTTTTACAAGAAATGAAGCGTTAGCAATAATAATGTATTTAATTAAAGCTTTAATCTCCATAATTGGTGTAATCTCAGAATGAAACTTGAATATACAAAGAGGAAAACTATGAAGTTTTGTTAACTTAAAAATAAAAAAGTAATTATGTCTATAAAGAAATATTTTGGAATTTAAATATTAAAAAATGATTAAAATTTTCAAAGTTTGTAAGCAAAAATCTAAATAACGTATAATCAGAAGATGAAGAATCCGCCAATTCAAAATCTGTTTAGAATTGAAGCTTAGTTAGTTTAGTATAGACGAATGGGTGGATAAAACTATGGATAAAACTTGTCTCGGAAAAGTTTAAATGGTTTGAGAAGAAAAGTATGGGTTGGAAAACCAGTATAGACTGCTTTTATTTTGCATCAATAGCCAATAAATCTGTCTTAAACTTTCAATAAACTTACAAAATGTGTACCCTAAACCCTAAACCCTAAACCCTAAACCCTAAACCCTAGACAAAAAAAATAAAGAACCGAAAACGATTGTTTTAACTTGTTAGTTTTTTCACCGTTTTTGGGGTATTTTTTTGGTTCGGTATTTGCCTTTATTTTCTGTCAGGGTTTAAAAATTTGGCATAAGCCATAAAGTAAGCAGAGCTGGAAAGTTTAGAATTGGATATCATTAACCCCCGATCTGCTATTTAATCTGGAGATTAAGAACAGGAGGAAAACAAGCATTATTTATTCTGGAGATTAAGAAAAAGAGTAGATCAAGCATTAATCTCGATATCCACCATTCAGAAGTTTTCAGCTCAGAGCACATGTTAAATTGTTTTTCTTACACTTTACCAAACTTAGACCCTTAAGAATATAAGTCGTCTTTCAAATCTCCAGTTTTATGAGTCCCACTGTATGCCTTAACTGAACTGAGCTGATGTCCTAACCAATTTGAGCAAAATAAAGTTTCAACTAGTACTCTACATTTTCACTGATTTCTCAGGGGATCTTGTGGGATTGGTTGAAATTGAGGTACGTCGGATTAGCTGGACGGGGTGGAGGGGAAATGGAGAAAATGCCCCCACAAAAATAATTTTCATTCTTTCTCATTTCAAATTACATGACCCCCTCCCCCCCTCCTTAAAAGAGCAACCAAATGTGAATATCTATCATTATAACGAGACAATTACGATTATTCTTTGTGAATTTGAAAACAATTTGCTTCTAAATAACTTAAGTATGCCTATACAAACTTTGAGTAATGTTTAATTTATATTTTTTTACTTTTTATCCTTTTAAATTTTTTATTCTTTTTATTTTTTTTTTAAATTTGTATTCTTTCGCTGTAAGTTTATAAATCTAATCTATTTGTGTGACATTGTTAAAGATCAAAATTGCTCAGTTTTATTAAAAAAAAAAGAATTTTATCCATTTAAAAAGAAATTCAGTTTTTTGCAACAATTCCAGTTTTTTCATTCCTATATCTTTGTAACTTGATCATTTAAACCTTTAGTGTTTCAAACATAGATTATTTGGTCAAACAGTATTCATTTTTTGAAATATTAAAGTTCTACGACATCGAATTGCAAAGATAAATGGATTTTAAAATCAGAGTTAATGACAAAAACTTTACAACTTCTTAGCAAGGAAAATTGAGGGGTTTTATTTTAACAAGGGTTCCCAACTTCCCAATACCAATTTTTCCAAATCAAGCCCCGTTAAGTAAAAATTCTCTAAAAAAAAATATAGTTGTACACGATTCATCGATGAAAATAAGCGAGAATATTTACGAAAACTTAGCAAAGCGAATATAGCTTATTTTACTTGATTGTCCCAAGAGGCGTTAAGTAATTTAACATCCCTCTGTTGGGTAATTTAGGGATAAAAGGCAGTAAAATATTTACCTATGGAATGTTCTAGTTCATGTTGAACTCTAATCCATTCATTCATTATCACCTCCTCAACATCAACCATAGGGACCTATAAATATTAAATTATTCTTTTTTTGCAGCATTTTTATTATTTTTAATATTAAAGTTTGATGTTTTTAAGGTTTTAAAACTCTACTTGAATTGATAAAATGGTAAAGCGTGAACCAGAAAACTTTTTGTACTCAAGTTTCAATAGTTCAATGAACCTAAGGCACAGTAATTGTGCAGTGTACTCAGACCCATTTAACTCAATGAATTATTTTGAATTATTTGCTTTATAAAAATATTGCTAAAACGTCGTTATTTTATTCCTCTGTATTTGAATGTATGATGAGCAGCTATCATAAGAAATTTAAAAAAAAATATAACTGACCTTTTTTTAATGATACCAAAAGATTGATAATGCGGGTAACTAACTTTAAGATGATTACAGACAATCTTAAAATTTTCAAGTCCTTTCTAAAGTTTAATAATTTTTCGTGTTATTTTTTTCTCCTGAATTTAAGCACAATTTTGACGAATTGCGGATTTTTGAAAATTTCTGATTAATTGTTTTGTTTTGTTACCTTCATTATACAGCTGTAACGAAAGGCAAGATGAACCAAACCCAGCGGCAACAAGTTCTGGAATATTCTATAGTTAGTTAAAACAATCGATAAAAAGGAGTTTTCTTATCGACACCTCATTGCTCCAAGAAGTATTTTTTTTCAATTTTAAGCTTGAACGTAATCAATAAAGACTAAGAAAAAGAAAGAAAAAAATCTTTTTTACTAACCCTCCGGCCCAATATATTGACAATTTGAAGATACAATATAGAGATGGATTGTACTCTTAAGATTATTTTATATATAATGTTCAATATCACAATTTAACACATTAAGGTGGAAAGAAAAGTAAACTTTTGCTTTGAACTAAAGTAAACTCCTCTTGTTGAAGAGTTATTGAGACACGCACCTCTGCCCCTTCAGTAAAAGTAAATTTAACCTATATGAAGCATAAAGTCTGACCGCGTTAACCTTGTTGCACCGGCTAGCCCTGTCCATAGAGCTAGGTAAAGTACAAACTGGGAACGGAAAGGTTGACCCGGCTCGGAAATTCAAATGTACTACGGCTGCCCGTGGAGAAGAATAAAAATATTCTGAATTTCTAACATGTTAATAAATAAATGTTTTGTTCTTATTATACTTATGCTTTAAATCAAAATTAGAATTTCTACGAGGTCACAAAGTCTCACCAGTAATGTGCCATGCATTTGATGACCTTTTACATTTTTTTTTCCCAGTTCTTTTTTTTCTGGTTTAATTTTCAGATTTATAATTTACATTTGCTTTTTTCAATAAAAAAACTAGTTTTACTGTTCTACAACATTTCACTTCTTCAGTTTTAATTAAGTATATATTGAAAACAATTTTCTGAAATTGTTTGATGAAAAGTTGGGAAAGTTTGAGGGAAAAGAAATAGTTTTAGTTAAAAGAAGAGGCGCATTGTTTAGTACTTATAGTAGATTTAAACTACATCGAGGAGGAATAAAATAAAACTTAATTCGTAGAAACGAACTGATTTGTACTTGTCACTCTCTTTCATTTTCATATATTTCCTATATCGTTGCGACTTGAGTGTGTTAATCTTTAATATTTCAAATGGAACATGCATCTGATCTAGTAGAATTATCAAATATCAAAGGTTTACAACATCAGGTTGCTAAGATATAAAATATAAAATATAAGAAATAAGATAAAAATTATAAGATATGAGATATAAGAATTACAAAATTTGAATGCGAGGCAAATAATCAGCTTCTTTGGCAATCTTGAAGTTGAAACTTTTATGTTGTGAATCTATCTCGGGATCGGGACTGATTAATCTATCTCGGGATCGGGACTGATTAATCTATCTCGGGATCGGGACTGATTAATCTATCTCGGGATCGGGACTGATTAATCTATCTCGGGAGCGGACTGATTAATCTATCTCGGGAAAGGGACTCATTAATCTATCTCAGGATCGGGACTGATTAATCTATCTCGGGATCGGACTGATTAATCTATCTCGGGATCGGGACTAATTAATATATCTTGGGGGATCGGGATTGATTAATCTATCTTGGGATTGGGACTGATTAATCTATCTCGGGATCGGGACTGATTAATCTATCTCGGGGGATCGGGACTGATTAATCTATCTCGGGATACTGATTAATCTATCTCGGGATCGGGACTGATTAATCTATCTCGGGGGGTCGGGACTGATTAATCTATCTTGGGATCGGGACTGATTAATCTATATTGGGATCGGGATTGATTAATCTATCTTGGGATCGGGACTGATTAATCTATCTCGGGATTGGGACTGATTAATCTATCTTGGGATTGGGACTAATTAATCTATCTCGGGATCGGGACTAATTAATCCATCTCGGGATCGGGATTGATTAATCTATCTTGGGATCGGGACTGATTAATCTATCTCGGGATTGGGACTGATTAATCTATCTCGGGATTGGGACTAATTAATCTATCTCGGGATCGGGACTAATTAATTTATCTTGGGATTGGGACTAATTAATTTATCTTGGGATTGGGACTAATTAATCTATCTTGGGATCAGGACTAATTAATCCATCTCGGGATGGGGATTGATTAATCTATCTTGGGATCGGGACTGATTAATCTATCTCGGGATTGGGACTGATTAATCTATCTCGGGATCGAGACTGATTAATCTATCTTGGGATTGGGACTGATTAATCTATCTCGGGATCGGGACTAATTAATCTATCTCGGGATCGGGATTGATTAAACTTAGTTTCTTTCGAGATCCAGTAGTGGTCAATCCCTGCAGTGATAACTTTAGTTAAGGAATCAAGCATTTATTCTCAAAATTAAATGCCTGCATTGGATATCAAGATCAAGTGTTCAAGATTAACGAAAATTCACCTTAAAGTTCTAACCTCTGACCTTTGACATAACTCTCGGATTGTGACCAAAATAAAATATAAATTCAAATTAATAATTTCCAATACTAAGAAGTATAAAAAGGGTAAAAATAAATAAGACGTATATATTAAGCTTACCTCTTTTCTTGGAGTAAATTCTGATAAGTTAAATCCTTCATTTCTCATTCTTAAATAGAATATATTGACACAGTTTAGAATAAATGAAAAGATAACACAACATTCTCCTGCATGTTTACTGTCTAATATCTATCAATTAATCAATCTTATAATTTGATCAATCTTTAAATATTTAAGGCCTTATATGAATTTCATATGTCTCCACAAAAAGATGTTTTGTGTAACATGGATTAAACATTATCTATCTATCAATTAATCAATCTTATAATCTTTAAAACATTTAAGGCCTTATATGAATTTCATATGTCTCCACAAAAAGATGTTTTGTGTAACATGGATTAAATTTGTATTCTCTACAAGTTAATGTTTTGCCGCAAACTCAAATTTTCTATAACCCTTATATCTTTACAACGTGTTAGCGTAAAGCTTTGATTTTTGAAACTATTTTATCAATCAGAACTCATTGTTTGAAACATCTAAAGTCTAGGACATTGGGTTGCAACGATATAGGGATAAGAAAGTCGGATTTTGTGGCATAGACTTAATTCTTTTGATATTATAGTTAACTTTGCAAACAATAAACTAAATGAGAAAAATGCATATAGTCCCATAACAAATGATTCGACAATTTTTTAGACAGTCATGTAGAGTAAACAGTTTTAAATATCACAAAATATTTTTGATGAAAAACACAGGAATTAGAAACAGATCAAAAACGATCCCTTTACACTTTATATAAAAACTATTAATATAAAAACTATTAATATAAAAACTATTAATGGTGAAAAAGTATCTTTTTCATTAATATTTTTTTAATCAAGGGTAACATATGATCGACATTAATTCTTTACTAATGTGTTTTTAGATTTATTAGTGTAAATTCTGTCATGCACAACTTCTTTTCAAATAATCATGATTTGCGATTTTTTTAATATGGCAAAAATATTATTATTCAAATAAAGACAATTTTTTAGAGATTTTGATAATAAGATCATGGCTAAGATCGAATTACTTAGAAATTCCCAATCTTAAAATTGTGTTTTAAAACTGTATCCAAAACAGATTTTTAGATAAAAGCGTAATAAAAAATACCATTTTTCCCAATACTCCTTTTAAAAATCTATCTATCTATTCACCTTATTCTGATCATCTTAGTAAGTAGGGATAAAGGGATCCGTCTTGGAGTTGCCAGGGAAATTGGGCACGCAGCAGCCATTATATAAACCTAAAACAGTCTCATTTTATTTCAGTTTTTTTTTAATTTTAAATTTATCAATTTAATTTAATGAATTAGATGTAGAAATACCCGGAATTCCCAGGTCCCTTTTTTCAACTCGATTGTGGTTGCTTTCCCTCCCTCTACTCAACTATATTGTGGTTGCTCTCCCTCCCTCTACTCAACTATATTGTGGTTGCTCTCACTCCCTCTACTCAACTATATTGTGGTTGCTCTCCCTCCCTCTACTCAACTATATTGTGGTTGCGATCCCTCCCTCTACTCATCTATATTGTGGTTGCTTTCCCTCCCTCTACTCAACTATATTGTGGTTGCTCTCCCTCCCTCTACTCAACTATATTGTGGTTGCTCTCCCTCCCTCTACTCAACTATATTGTGGTTGCTCTCCCTCCCTCTACTCAACTATATTGACTATGTGAAAATGTGGGAATTAAATGGAAACTCTGAATAAGATGAAAGGAATATTTTAGATTAAAATAAAGTCATCATTCTCTAACCGTATAAATGTCTACCTACCTGTCACTCAATCTAACTTCTATATATTCCCAGTTAGTGATGTGTCAATTCAGTTGGTGTTTCTTGGAGGTCCTAAGCTGCTTTATGATTACCTGTGCTGCTCATTTTTCTTTCAGCTCTCGAGTTGCTTCATATTTATCTGTGAAGCTCCTGTTTCTTGAAGCTTCTAAGCTGCTTTTTATTTAACTGTGTAGCTCCTGTTTCTTGAAGCTCCCAAGCTGTTTTATATTTACCTTTGTTGCACTCCTGTTTCTAGGAACTCCCGAGCTGTTTTATATTTACCTTTGTTGCACTCCTGTTTCTAGGAACTCCCGAGCTGTTTTATATTTACCTTTGTTGCTCCTGTTTCTTGGAGCTCTCGAGCTATTTTGTATTTACCTTTGTTGCTCCTGTTTCTTGGAGCTCCCAAGCTGCTTTATATTTACCTTTGTTGCTACTGTTTCTAGGAGCTCCCGAGCTGTTTTATATTTACCTTTGTTGCTCCTGTTTCTTGGAGCTTCCGAGCTGTTTTTTATTTACCTTAGTTGCCCCTGTTTCTTGGAGATCCTTAACTGCTGCTTGTATTCTAAATCGTTCTGCTGGATCTTGAAATCCTAAAACTCTTAAATCTGCTCCACGAATCTAAAATATTTTTAAAATTTATTTTTTTAACTTTAATTTTAAAAAATTTTCTAAATAGAGAATGTAAATTTATTCTCCCGCTGTTGTATTTTCGTAAAGGAACTGTAATGGAAAATTTCAAGTGACCCATCATGCAAAGATGGAAATATTCGATTCACAACGGTATCTTTAAAAGCTTTATCTGATCAAGTATGAAGAATATATCAGTTCTTTTCATTAAAAAACTGGTTATTTTCAATTGTGGGTTCTGTTCGAAAACTTTCGCATTTCTACTTCCATTTCTACTGAAATCAACGATAACGATAACCGTTTAAAAACCAAAATTAAAACTAATACAACTTAAAAAGTTTTACTAAATAAAACGTTTACTCTTCATTCCATAGTTTTCATATTTTCTAAAACTTTTATTATTTGTTTATCAATGTATCATTACGGACCATATTTATAGCTCTCATGGGAGCTTTAAACTTTAATATTTTTGCTCTGTATGCACTTCAGTAATTTTTCTCAAGTTTTATTTTTAAGTCAAAAATTTTAACATTTTATAATTTACAACTTTTTTGATATGAATGTAATTTTTTTCATTTATTAGAAAGATATATTTCTATTTCTATTTTAAACAATAGTAGCTTAACAATTTCCTATATCATGGAGGATGAATTTGCTTGCACTTTTACAGAGCAACCATAATTGAAAGTAATCAATTTTGAGCAAACATATTATAGATATCTCATTCATTATAATTGAACAAAGATTTTAAGAATACCGTCGTAATGCCGACTGCAGTCCCTTTTAACCCTATTCCGGCGGGGGGGGGGCCTGGACCCACCTGACCAAGGGGGGGGGCCTGGATCCACCTGACATATTTTTGGGGTTAACTCAAAAAGCATTGGTCTGAGGCTTTTCAAATTTTTGACATGCCTTTAACTTTAGGCTCAAAACGGAGCTACTGCCTGAGTCCTCAGGCATACTGCCTGAATACCTTATTTTACCTTTGTCCGACTAAATCTATATTTAGACCTACTTCTGATCATTGGATTTCAACTTTTTATATCTGTTTAGAGAGAATTTTCAAACTTACAGTTTTCCTTGAATACAAAAATTCATTTTTTCAAAGTTTTGCACAAATATTTAATATTTTTGCATATTTGATTTCGCCCAAGGGCTTTCCAAAAGTGTATAAAATGTTTGTATCACAATAAGGCAATAGAGGGAGGGTCCCTGGGACCCCCCTCCCCCGACTATTTTGGGCAAACCAGACGTATCCCTAAACAGGGTTGAGTTTTTAAAACTTCATTGCAATATAGTTTCGTTTGTTCATGGGAGGTTTAATGGTGAACATACAGCTAAAGGTGTTTGGTTTATTTTGCAAACTGCCTGTTTAAACCTAATATTTTCTCATAATGTCCTAGTAGTATAATATCAAGGCCGGATATCCTGTAATTCTAGTTCCTAGATTCCTTTTATACTTTTCTATATAGAGGTTTGCAATTTAAGTACACTTTAAATCTTTATTGAGAAGATTTACAGGAATTGTATAATTGAACACTTTACATTATTATTTTCAACGAAACATTTTATTTCTTAACTAATGAAATGTAGGGATTCATCATTGCACTGTTAAACTAATAAGTTTACAATAGAATTTACATTGTTTGCCGTTGTATTTGATAGTTTAAAAAAATCTATTCTCAAAAGTTAACCACCCTAATGGATGATTTTGAACCTTGATTTTGCGCTCAAACTCAGTAATTATACATCATTAAAACGTTTTATATGTCTCAAATGAATCAAAAATAAATTTCTCCACAATACTACATTTTCAGTTCGAGTACATTTTGGAAATCCCGAGACAATTGTAGTTTTCCGTAATAAATGTTTTAACTGGGATACTTCTAGAATTGTGTTAACGAAATAATACCGTGTGGGAAAGAGACGTCATGATTAAAAGTCGTAGACTAAATTACCATGTTTATTGTGACACCCTGTATGTCACGCGGATAAAGCAGTTAGGGGGTTTGTCCAAGCAAGCAGTATCTTTCAATCATAATTCTACTGATCTTACATTTTAGCCTTTTTCTGTTATATTTTTTGTCGCATGGATAAACATCAACGAAAACCCGAACGTATGAACTGGTTAGAGTTTTATACTTAAAGGGTAATTTGACTAACTATTGTTGTTATTGACTCCAGCTATCAAATGGGGCCGAACTTATCCGTCTTGGATTTAAAAAAGACTTGCAGGATAAATTTCACTTTAAATCGTCGAATTCGACTTTTTTTCTGTCTTGATCATTTATTTTACTTTCTCATTCTATGTCTTCCAATTGAACAATATTTAAAACTGTAAATATATGACTTGAACAATTGTTTAATTTTACTGTTTACCTTTTTACAGGTCTCTAGATCATCATATCCATTATCCATGAAGGCCTAAAAAGACATAAATTCATTATAATTAATACTGAAATTTGAATGATCATATGAAGATTCTTACCCAGCCCACTAAGGATAACACTTCAGATTGCCGCGTTAGACTTTTTTCAATGTTCGTTTACGACACGTTTCAGTTTTTTAGTCGTTCAGTAAAATTCTGAATTCGTTCGTTTTTTAGAAAGCGTATCCACCCCCAAAGTAGGAGTTTTGAACGTCGAATTTGCGCTCAAACTCAGGATTTACAGATCTTTAAAAAGTTTAATATGTCTCAAATGAATCCGAAAGAAGTTTTCCACAACACTGCATACTTAGTTCAACTACCTTGCATAGCCAGTCACTCCCTTTAAGATGTTCTGGCATAAAGAGCTTTAGGCCAAAATTCGTAAATGATATTAAAAATGTTTTATGCATGGCCTTTCTTATATCAGCCTTAAAATGTCTCTCTTTGCTCCAAAAGATCAAGCTTCCATTTGATTCTCTTTGCTAAAACTCCTTCTTAATTTTCTCTGATTCCTAAAAATAACACATAGTATTAAATACACAAGTATTAAATTGTTAATTTAGAGCTTTCGGACCTGTCTTTGTACTTTCAAGTGATCCTTTATTTAAAAAGAGGCACAACCAGTTCACAATGGCACCCTTAAAACCTTTATCTGATCAATAATTTAGAAAATTTTTAAATCCGGCAGTTTCTTTCATTGTATCAAAAGCAGAAATGCGCAAGTCACTTTGTAAAGAAACTAAAATTATTAATAATATTCAATTTTCAAAAATAAGATAATATTTACTTTAAGCATTGATCAGTCAAATCTTTAAGGGAACTATTGTGAATCGGACATGTCACTCTATAAATAAAATCTTATTTTATTATGTCAACAGTCCCTTTAACTCACTTAAATCAGATGTTTAAGATACAAAAGTTAATTTTGCTCTCCGACACAAGACAAATGTTCAACCAATTTCAAATTTTTTTTCTTTTTTAAATGTAAAATATTAAAAAATATAAAATATATTTTAATTCCTTTGAAACTGTTAACCATCCTTTCAGCAATTAAACCGTTATAATCAATTTCTGTTAATTAAACTAAATTTAATAATATTTTTCTACATTCCTTGTTTTACCTTATGTCTTTTCCACAATCAGGCTCAAATGGTTGATTTCTATCCACAATGTGGCTCAACTTTACAGAATTGTGGCTCAATTTCAGAGATCGTTCAGGTAAGATCTGGTATATATGACTGGTATTGGATTCACATAACCTCAAATACTGGGACAACTTAACCTCAATATAAATGGTTGCCAATATAACCTGGATTACAGTTCAGCTTCTTGATCCAGCCGCTCCGAATAAATAGAACATAAATCAGGTATCTTAGAAATATCGTGTTTTCTCCACCCGGCCAACCTGGTTTTTGTTAAACAATGTTTTCTCTTCCACCTCTGAGAAATGTTCTTTTAATTAATTATATTTTCCGGTCGAGCAATAATGAAACAAAGGCTCTGAAGTTCAATATCTGTAACGATCTGTATTTGATTAACTTTGTTGAAAGAAATCACATTTTCTTATTTTGTCAAACACTTTTCGCAAGTCTAAAATCACCAAGCTTTTTAATTTTGGAGCTTCTTGATAGTTTTTAGGCCAATTGTTTTTTTTCACATGTGGGATTTATAATAAAAGGTTAAAAGGCTTGTTTTATAAATATTATGAGAGTTGTATAGCTAGATAAAGCTGTGTATGGTTGATGGTTCGAAGCCAACTAATCTCAAAGAATTGATGCCGGAGGTTGAAAACAGAATTGACGCTGTACACAGAATTGTCGGATGGATCCGAGCAAACTCTTATATTATACGACGGGTAAGAAGAATTGGATGGGGGGGGGGGGTTACAGAGAGGGGACCGGGGGAAAGGGCTTTTATTAACCCTAATTTCATTCTGTTTTATACTTAAAAATTTTACATTGGTAATTCTTGTTACAAAAATCACATACAATTTTTACACACGTCATTTGGTTAAAGTTAGTGGATTTCTTAGCTTGATTTTGACCCCAGAAATGTAGATCTGTAACGACCTGTATGTAGAAATGTAGATCAGTTTGAAATGCATTAGATTGAATTCCTCTACAGATTACAGAGATACAATTCTGGGGAAAATATAAAGACAAAAAGCTCAGAAATCAAAATGGATTTATTTGGAGAAACAAGAATTTGTATTTATTTATACTATTCTGGAAACTGGGCCTAATCCCAACATTAGATTTAAAAATTCCCAAATCAATTTCAATTTATAATTCTGATATTAACAGAAATTGATTTGGGAATTTGATTTAAATATAAGTTCCCTACAACTATTTCCAGATTTTTTTCATATCACAAGTAATTCGTACTAATATACTGGTACTTATAGGCTTTACTTAAATATTAATTATGTCAGAAGTGTTAGTTAGTAATGTAAATCAATTCTATAATATAAGTATAAGTTTTAAGTTTAAATATACAGGGGTATATATTTACTTGGATCCCCCTGGCACAGGATTATAGATTTACTAGAATCCCTCGGGTACAGGGGTATATATTTACTAGAATTCCCCTGGTAAGTCACTTTTAGGACTGATTCCTGAAAAGGGTTCAAGTTTTAAAATTCAAGTATAAGATATACATGATTTAATAATAATTTAAACACATCCAATTGTTATTGTTATAAGTTGACACTCCTAACTTATCATAAACATTCCTAAAATTATCCATAATGGAAAATTCAAGGATCTATTTTAAGTCGAAGACACTTTTAGGACTAATTCCTGAAAAGGGTTCAAGTTTTAAAATTCAAGTATAAGATATACATGATTTTTTGGCTACGCTCAATTTAACACAACCGAAGTTAAATAATTACTTTATTAACTGGTAAAAGTACAAATTTTAGTTAAAGTTTTTGAGTATCAAATATCAAGGTGACGTGGCAGAATTCTAGTACGTCTTGCCGCGTTCCAATATCCGGCTTCAGTCTCTTCATAATAGATCGTCTTCCGCCACAGTACTCCCCCCAAGAAGGCAAGGCGGAGTCACGGCGGAGCAAAGGCCTTCTTTCCTGGCTTGTCTGTGAGGATTCCTTCTTGGTATGATTATAGGTTGGGTTAGGAATAATACAGACTTCTTCTTGGAGGCGGATGACTTCGCGGCGGATGATTGATTAGGAGGATCCTTTGATTGACAAAGAGGAGGACGTCCTCGAGGCGGAGGAGCTGCAGGAATCACTGGAGAATCCGAGAAAACTGGCTTAAGACGATCCACGGAAACTGAATCTATCTTGGCACCAATCTGGAGGCGGAAGAACTTACTCCGCCGTTCCACAACCAGGTAAGGACCACGATACAGAGGACTGAGTGAAGGTTTGCTTACATCCTCTCTAACAAACACAAACTTGGCGGCTCTGAGAGTTGCTGGAACCTCAGCTTGAGGCGAATACTGAACGTGATGGGGCGGAGGAGTTGAAAATCCGGCTATAACCTTCTCCACCTTGCTGATGAACTGTGTATCAGGAATCTCTGGAGTTTCCAAGAATTCACCCGGGACTGTCAGGGGGGAACCGTACACTGCCTCAGAGACGGAGAACCCAGTGTCTTCTTTAGGAACTGAACGGAGTCCCAACAAAACCAGAGGGAGGTGAGAAACCCAGTCGGAGTCAGCAGCTCTGGCTCGGAGAGAAGACTTGAGGGATCTGTGAAACCGTTCTATCATGCCATTTGACTNAACGAGAAATCTCTACCTTCTAACATGAAGCGGAAGTGTCTGATGGACAGATAGGCAGCAAGGAGCTCTCTGTCGAATGTGGAGTATTTCTTCTCGGTTTCTGACAACTTCCTGGAGAAAAATGACAACGGAGCCCAGGCATCCTGAACCCTCTGTTGTAGCACGGCACCTACGTGAGAATCTGAGGCGTCGACAGCAATGGAGATCGGTGCAGACGGACGAGGATGAGTTAGCTCAGGAACTTTGATGAGAAGATCCTTGGCACGGTGGAAGGCATCCTCGAGGTCTGGAGTCCAGGTGAGAGTCTTACCAGGTCCCTTCAGAGCGTTGGCCAAGAAACCTTTGCAGAGCAGGCTTGTCAGCTGGAACAGGGAACTCGGAAACTGCTGTTGTATGTTTGACTAGAGGAGAGCAACCTTTAGCAGATACTAGATGACCCAGGAACTCTATCTCAGGGACCGCAAACTCACATTTCGGCAGTCCTATAGTCAGTCCATGCTGTCGACATAGAAGGAGGACCTCACAGAGATGATCAACATGTTGTTCTAGGCTGCTGCTGAAGATCAGGATATCATCGACATAGGTGAAACAATAGGGTAGATCGCCAAGGATGGAATCCATCATTCTCTGGAACGTGTTCCCAGCGTTCCTGAGGCCAAAGGGGAGGCGAAGAAACTCGAACATGCCGAAAGGTGTGACGATCGCTGTCTTACAAATGTCTTCTTCAGCCATCGGAACCTGGTAGTACCCCTTCTGCAAATCCAGCTTGGAGAAAACTGTAGAACCGTCGATCCTTGATGAAAAATCTGCTATGTTAGGTAACGGGTAACGATCAGGGATAGTAACAGTGTTCAGTCTCCTGTAATCTACACAGGGGCGCCAGCCTCCGTCCTTCTTCTTGACCATGTGGAGAGGGGAAGACCAAGGAGAGTTAGATCTACGTATAATACCCGCCTTCTCCATGGCGGAAAACTCGGCTTTGGCGGAAGCCAACTTCTCTGGATCCAACCGACGGGCTCTTGCAAACACTGGAGGACCCGGCTGCGTGAGGAGATGATGTTTGACTCCATGACGAGGTTTAGAGGCTGTAAAATCGTCGGAAGAGGCTACGTCTGGAAATTCGGCGAGCAGGTCCTGGATGCACTTTGGAGTGGTGAGGAGGTTTGCCTTGAGCGGAGCTGACGTGGAGTCTGGAACAGTTGGAAGGATGATGGACGGAGAGGTTGGTGAATCGGAGCTGAAAACCCTCTGGTTTGAAACGTCTAACAACAGGTTGAAATGCTTCAAAAAATCAGCGCCTAGGACGGGAATGGCTACTGGAGCGAGCTGGAAGGGCCATTCAAACCTGTGGGCTCCAAATCGTAGAGGTATAATCCGAGAACCAGAGCATGTGAGCGAGGAACCATCTGCTGTAAGCAACCTGACTCCTGACGAGGTGGAAGAAGAGCGTGGAGCAGGAATCACTGATACTGAAGCACCAGAATCTATCAGGAATTTTCGTGAGCTGAGTGAATCTTGTAAATAAATCAAACGTGTTGAAGTAGTCGGCCCGGCAGGAAGGGTTTGAAGATCCTCCTGCCGGTGAACTAGTTTTCCGACCAGGAACACGGAGCTCTGCATTTTTTTGCCCTTGACCCCCATGAACGATGGTAATAGCATATGGTAGGAGACTGGGAACGGCTATCCTGGCGGCTGCTGGCGTAAGGAGTAGCAGAACGACGAGAACGGTTAGGAGCTGAGGGTCTAACGGCGTTAACAGAGTGCTGGTCCTCCGGAGTGCTGGAAACGGAGTAAACTTGAGAAGAGGAGACTCTGCTTTTGTATATTTCATCTGCTTTAAGGGCGAAAGAGATGGGGTCAGAGAAATCGTCTCTGATCAAGTGGGCTCGAATATCGGCGGGCAGTCTCTTGAGGAAGGCTCCTTTAAGGAAGAAACACGGTTCGTGACCAGCAGGAAGCAAGGCGAGCATGTTTGACATTAGCCTAGAGGGTTTCATATCCCCAGATAACGGAAGGTTAGAAATTGCCTCATACCTCTGGTAGTCGTCGAGGGCGAACAACTTCAACAACCGGCTCTTCAGAGCTTCGTAGGGACCAGCAGCAGGAGGAGACTTAATAAGGTCGAGAACCTGGTTAGCGGTGTCTTGGTTGAAGGAGGAAACACAATAGTAAAACTTCGTGGAACTGGTCGTCACTCCCTTGAGCGCAAACTGGGCCTCGACTTGTATGAACCAGGCCTCCGCAGACTCAGGCCAAAACGCCGAAACTTTCACAGATACAGTGTTCAATAAATCCAGCAAGCTGGGCTCAGCTTGAGCTTGGACGTTGTCACTGTCCTTAGGCATTTCACAACTAGCGTGTAGCTATATAAAAGAGTCTATAACGGCACAGAAAAACAGTCTATTTGCCTATAGTTTTTCGAACTCGGGGTCACCAAATTTAGCTACGCTCGATTTAAACAACGCTTGGTTTAAATAACTACTTTATTACTGGTAAAAATACAAATTTAAGTTTTAGTTATTGAATCAAAATATCAAGGTGACGTGGCAGTATTTGAGTACGTCTTGCCGCGTTAGAATATCCGGCTTCAGCCTCTTCATATTGGATCGTCTTCCGCCACAAACAAAACGTTAAGGTTTCTTCTAAAAGTGTGAGGATTAAAAACCGGATTTTTTTCTATATTTAGACTTTAAAATATTTGACTTTTGAAGATTATATCTTTAAAAGATTTCGACTTTAAAAGATTTTGACTTAAAAATGTTATGAGTTTGAAAAAACTTTAAAATAGTATGTCTTTAAAAGATTATGATTTTTTACGATTATGTCTTTAAACAGTTATTACTTGAAAAGATTTTGATTATTTAAGGGTTTTAAAGGTTATAACTTCGAAGTGTTTTGACTTAAAAAGAATATGACTTCAAAGATTAAGACTTTAAAAGATTATATCTTAAAAAGATTTTAACTTTATAATTTTTTTTTACTTTGAATGATTATATCTTTGAAAGGTTTTGACTTTAAAAGATTTTGTTTAAGTTGTGACTTGAAAAACATCTGCCTTTAAAAGATTTCAACTATAAGAGATTAAAAGATGAATGCATAATCTGAAAGGTTGAGTGGGAGTAAAGAAAAAAGTAAAATTCTGTTTGTATAAATACAGATTATATTTATGATATGAGCCTGACATTATCAAGATGTCCTGACAGCCATGCTCTATACAGATGACAATCAATACCTTTAGATACAGAACTAGTTCATCATTCTTCATCCATACACACCTACACATAAACCTATCACTGGAAACTTAGGTTAATTTGTAGTAGCGGCAGAGATATAGAAACGTACTAGAGCAACATATATATTATACAATGACTGTAAAAAGCAACACATAAATTTCACTAAAATGGGATCGTTCAATGATTTGGTTTATTATCCCGTTTTGTCTTACACAGTCTGTATTTGTACATTTCGGTTGCCCTTGCTCAAGCTGGTTTAAAGTCCTTGAAAAGAACGGAATAAAAATGGTATAGTACACCAGTGTCCGAATTCAATGAATTTTAGTCGCCACTTAAATCTGCCAAAAACCGGTTTTAATTGAGCGCCGGCTTAAATCTTGAAAAATTTAATACTATTTTAAGTGGAACAAACCATATTTGAGCCGCGGCTCAAATTCTTAAAATTCGGCCTCAGAAGAAATATGTTTAGGAGTAAACGTTATACTAAGTAAGTAATTAAGTAAGGGATTATTTATTTATGAAAAACATACAAAATTGTGTTTCAGAAGAAAATATGTAAAAGCCTCCTAAAATAAAGATTGTGAGAATATTTCCCCCCAATTCTAAAAATTGAAAGGAAAGGAAAAGGAAAGTTGCATATTTATTGTTTACATTATAAAATATTTACAATTAGTGTTAGTATTTTTTGACGATGAACAACTTTCAGATTTGTTTTAATGTTGATGATACAGGTTCTACACAAAACGGGCCTTTTTCAGCATCTTTTTAATTCGCTCCGATTTTTAAAATCATTTTGTTTGATTTTATTTTTTACTCTTTTCAATATTTCTAGTTTCTTTTTGTGAAATCGTCTATGCTTTCTTCGATTCTTTTGCAAACAGAGCATGTGTTAGAATTAAAACATTAGTTCTGCTAATAAAAATCTTCAATCAAATTCTATTTAAAATTCGAAATAAGATTGATAGTTGAAAGTTTAGAAAAGTGTCGTTTATTTTCATACCATATTTTAGTGAAATTGTTATAAGAGCGCAAAGTCAAACCAGTATTTCTCACACTATGATTAGTTTGATATGATCAGATAATACCTCCTTCTTTACTTGTTTATCCGTTTCAAGGATTAAATTCCCCTCTTTTCCCCTTTATACTTAAATTCTCATTCAACTCCAAGGCAGAAGTTACCCCTCCTACCCCTCCTACCACCAACTTTAAATTTCTAGATAAAAAGTTAAAAGTTAAACCCTTTCCAACTGGTGTGTTGCCAAAATCGATATTTGAAATATATCGGATCCATCAAACTTAGTAGAAGTGTATATTCTATCCAGTATCAAACAAACAGAGATGATTACTACTTTCTATACATGTTATCATTTTAAGTATTTATAATAAGCCCTCATTCAGATTGTCAATTTGGAAATATTTTTCAAAATTTCCGAGTTTTCTTTTTAAATCTTAAACAATTTAAACTCCTGAACAGCTGTTAAGAGAAACACAATTGAATGTAACCAGACAATTTGCTTATCTCATACTTGTGTGTGAGTTTAAACCGGATAAGATGTCGGGCCCGTAGTGTCGCATAAGTTTTAACTTCTCCTTATGTATGTCTAATAGAGCGTGAAATGATTGGGAAAATGCAAACATTTTGAAATATCATGGAACCAAAAAACAAACAGAAGCTAATTTTCTTAAAGTTAAGAGAAACCAAGCTACAAAGGAATATTGATTGTGTATTACAAACTTAAAGTTTCTATTCTATTT